AGAGAGAGAGAGAGAGAGAGAGAGAGAGAGAGAGAGAGAGAGAGAGAGAGAAACAGACAGACAGACAGACATATAAACAGGCAGAGAGACAGACAGGCAGACAGACACAGCGGGACGGGGAGAAAGAAACTGAGAGAAAAAAAGAGAGATATAGACAGACAGACAAACAGGCATAAGCTGAAAGATGCGATTTCTTTCGAGAGGAGTGGCCGGGGTAAGACGGAATAAGCGCGTTCTTTGTATAAGCAGGACCTCGCGTACTTTAACGTGTATTTTCGAAAGGACTACGCTAAATGGATGAAAAGCCCTGAAAGTTACCCAACCAATCCAAGGATGTTTACAAAGGTCCCATAAATAGGAGTTAAAATTATTTTATTAACTTGTCGGCAATTTCAACTTGCCAAGGGTCTATAGGCACTACTTGAACGCAGACTGGCCCCTTTGAACCTGCACTTAATGGCTATCGTATTTTACGGCTCTTTGAACGTTATTTTCGGGGGTTTGTTTTTCATCACTTCTGTCTTATTCTGTTCCTGGCAAAAAGGGCCATAATCACATATCTCACCATTAACTGGTACTGGTATAATAATCATATTACATATATGCATAATTTAAAAAAATAGCAACATCCCAACAACCCTTGTTTCATTCAGACGACCCAAAAAACGAAGATTAAGAAATAGAGAACTTGGTTTATTTTGCTACTGAAGTGATTAATACTGACGTCTTTTTACAATGTGTCAATCAAAAATAATATCATGGATACGAAAAGAATTGGAGGGCGCAAAAGGTGTATATAGAAGTGAGGCGTGAAAATACACCTTGAATTCTATCCCCCCCTCTCTCTTTTCTCTCTTTGTCACACCCACACACAAACATACAAACGCACTCACACAAGCACACATACACACACTAGCTGAATAACTTTAAAAGATGTATCCAAAAGATCAAGGGAATGGCAAAGCCAGACAACCTCACTAGAATAAATATAGTGGCAAAAGTTATTAAACATCTCAATCACATGACTGTTCCATGCAAGTTTTTGAATTACTTTTTGCTCTGATTGCTGTTTTTAGTACTTTTATGCAGTGGTAGAAAAGACCAGTGCGTTTAATCACTATAATTGTACTCTTTTCACATAGCCTAGGCTGCAGCAGACTCACTCTAAATAAGTGGGTGGAAATGGGGGATACGATTGGTGATGCAACACAGCCATGTAAAGATGAAGACCACCGATGACTGATGCTTTTCGGGCTCTCGATGCAATTTTAGTCATAGGCACAGTTTTATCGATCCAATCTGATCAGACACCACTGCAATGTACGATTTCCAATATTGCTAGAAATTGAAGTTCATTTTCCCACTTCCCCAGTAGTCTAAATAATATAATCTACATTTAGAAACAAATAAACTTAAAAGCAGCTCATAGAAAACAATTACTCTCAATCCTTATTCGAACAAAAAAGAGTCAGATACAAAGAAAAAGACCATTATATTGGTGTAGTGTAATGAAATAAAACGGACTATGAGAATCCATTTCTTCGGAAGAAAATATTGTTTTTAATACTGGGTAGTAACATTGAAAATGTCACCGTCTAAATGTGTACAAAAAAATCATACTACCTACGTTTACAAAACAAAATATAGTTTTGAATGAAAACAATCTCAGGTTTGAATGATCAGTACTCGGCAATAAATGTAAAAAAAACCTTAGTAAGTTAGTTGGAGTAACAAGTCTTCAGAATCAAATTGAGAAGAAAACAAAAAGGAGCTTTGAAATAATTATATGGAATGAAAATCGACAACTAGGCCTAGAATCTATCTATTTCTTACACGTCGCTACAAAAGTTTGATCTAGTTTGTTTCATATCTCTGAGTTTGTGTTCCTCCAAGATGGCAGCTTCCAGTCTTGAGCACAGCTCAGACCGAAACTTGATACAATTTCTGAATGAAAATTTCAGTGGCAACAAAAGATGCTTAGAAAAAGTTTTGCCAATGAGAGATGACTTAAGGAGTAAGATAGACATTCTTGAAAAACAGGTAGGCCCAATGGTTTGTAACAAAAGTATCATGTGTCTAAAATTCTAAAGTTTAGGAAGTTGGCTAGCCCTCAGCCTAGCCGTCTGTCTGTCTGTCTCCAGCCTAATTGAATATATATACCATGAATGACATGTCTGCATGATACTGTGTATTGTAGGCTTACATCATCATCATCATCAAGTGCATGACATGATTTGACATTCTCTGGTTTTGGCCCCAAGAATACTGGATTTCGTTACTGATAACAGTCGAGACGTGAGCTACTATCCAATGACTAGATCTAGATCTATCTAAACTGGCCCTCCCTGCATCATTAGTATGAACATAACGATTAAGTTGAGCTGACCTTGCCGGGAGCAAAGTTAATTATGTCGACCAATGAGACTGCGCGTAGCGATCTCGCACTTTCGGCTTGCTGGGGAAAGAGGTGTTGGGAAGAGGCCATGGCTGTCTGTTTTGTGCGATGTGATAAAATAAAATAATTTACAGAAAAACTCACCCAACAAAATAAAATTAAACATGTGGAAAGACAAATGGTGGTGGAAGTAATGATGATGCTATAGTGGTGGTGGAAAGACCCTGAGTTGTCGGTTACCGTGCACTTAGACTCTGCCATTGGGTAGGTCTTTAATGACAGAGTGCAGTCTTTTGACTCTTGACACAATTACACAGTTCTAGTAGGCAATTCTAGTTCTAATTCTGATTTTACGTAGAATCTCCTGACGACATTTGTATATAAACCTCCTTACACTCACATAACTCACTTAGAAGCTGAGTCTGAATAAATACAACCTTTTTTTTTTTGGACACGAGTCCGAATAAATAAAACCCATATTCGGACTTGAGTCTGAATAGATAAAAATTATATTCGGACTCGAGTCCGAATAGAGCTGGCCTTACTTTAAGTATTAAAAAATGGGATGGACCTGAGCTTACATATGTGTTACTGCCTGTGTCTGTTCACTCCAAGTTGATCTATCATCTGGATGCACTGAATGATGCTCACGCCTCAGCATGAATAGCTGTTTGTCGTTGGTAGTGTCTGTGTGGCTAGCATGATTTGACACTCAGAAGTTGTGTTTGTCAGGTCTGGTAGGATCGTTGAGCAGGCCTTAAGGGTTTGTTAAGCTTAGATTTGGAGTCTAGTGGTTTCAACTCCAGATCAAAGCCAAAAATGTTTTGAAATGCTGATGAAACCAACACCAGTAGTGGGCTCTGAGGTTTTTTGTTGATTTCCCAGATAACCAAAAAAGTTCCTTACATGTTTTATTAATGATATTCCTACAATTCTGAAAAAAAAATGGTATGGGTTTAACGCCCCTGTCAACCACAATTCTGATAGTTTGATATAAAGGAGGAAGAATTCAAAAGATGTAAATTATATTTTACATTGATGTGTTACTAATGAGGCCTCTATATGTTTTTTAAAATAAGCTCTCACTAGCCAGCACAGAAATTCCTACAAAGATTGATCAGGCAATAGAAAGTGCAGAGTCAACGACAGCCCATATTGCAAGCCTTGAAGCCAAAGTAGAGAGTGTACGGCATGCGGTGTTGGACCATAGCCACGATGTGAAACCGATGCTGGGAGAGCTGGGTGCTCTGGTGGAGTCGGTGGAGCAGCTACAGAGACATGCTTACTACCTGAGTACTGTGGCCAAGGTGGAAGACATCAGGTATGTTTTAGTCCCATTGCTGACTAAATTGATCGGCTGCATTTGTCTTTTTGTAAAAATTGGTATGAGAAAGAAGATCAAATTTAACTAGAGATTTGATGAAAACAAGTTTTCTCATTTAAAAATGCCATGTCATATAAGGCGGAGGAATTTAATTCTGAGCATTGTTGTTTTTGGTTATCATATGATGGTTTGGCGTAAAATTTTGTAAGTGGAACTTCATTTAAGTCTGAACGAAATATCCTTCTACATTTCCAGTTTGTTCTTGACAGACATATATGTACAAAGTTAGATTAGAAATTTTGAATTACATGCTGAGCCACAGAAAAGAAGTTAAAACCCTGCACACTAACGCTTGTCGTCATAAAGACAAACACCCCGTCACATACTGGTTCTCTCTTTCTCTCTCTTTCTCTCTTTCTGTCTCTCCTGTCTCTCTCACTCTCTCTCTCTCTCTCTCTCTCTCTCTCTCTCTCTCTCTCTCTTTCTCTCTCTCTCTCTCTCTCTGTCTCTCTCGCTCTGCCTTTCCTCTCTCCCCTCTCTCTCTTTTTCTCTCTCTCTCGTGCACACAGCCTTTAGCACTATGCACACGCACGCAAACACACACACACACACACACACACACACACACACACACACACACACACACATACATACACACACACACACAAACTCACACTCACACACTCACACGTTCATTGTCATTAATGTGCAAAGATTAGTGATATGCCTAATGTGCTAATATGCTCCCCCCCCCTTTTCAGTTCCCAGATACAGTCTTCATTGATGACCGAGTCTCTATCACCTGCAGTGGACTACTTTAATGAGATGACTGCTCTGTACAACAAACTACTCACCTCCTCTTGCCCTCACCTTCTGCACTACCTGAAAGAGACTATTATGTTTTGGAACAAAATTCTCTGTGACAGAATAGCAGTGTAAGACCAGATCAGAAACAGCAATGTCTTGCTGTTCTTTAGTGCCTTAGTTTCATTGTCTTTCTTCTATCAAATTATATTTAACAGAATGAATAATGGGTTAAGTTTAATTATGGAACATTGAAACTTTCGCAGCACAGGATTTAACTCAGTGTTGAACAGCAGATATTTAACCCTATCCGTACACCCTGGGGTCATTTTGTACCCCTGGGGTTGTATTCTTCACATTTTAGAATACTTCTTGTACAAAGTTCTCTTTGAAACTTTCGGCATTTCTCAAAAAATCATTTTGACAGACTGCTATGCAAAGCGTACGGATCGGATTAACGAGTAAATTTCCTCTTTGGAAAGTGGTGGCACAGAGTTCCCCAAATCGTATGGATACGATATTAAAACACGACGTACGGATAGGGTTAAGCACTTTCTCACTACTGTGTGCATTATACTTGACATTATTGTAAAACAAAACTGCAAAACAGCCTTTGAAGGGTGTTTATTTTTATTGTGTTTGTTTTCAATTAACTAACTTCTCAGGGAATCTCTGAAGTGCCGCTTTCTTAGCTCACAAAGTTGAGGACTTAGTTTGAGTTAATGATTTCGTTGGACTGAAAATTTTTCTCAGCATCATGTGATTATTAGTATGTTGTAAGAATTTCTTGTTCATGATCAGACTTGTAATTTTTCATGTATGTGAAAAGTTTTTATTCTTTCTCCCCCATAGTTGGCGGCTCCAAGATAACTTAATTTTTTTTGTATTTTCAGAGAATTTGAAGAGGTTCTGAAAGCCCTTCGTTGGCCCCTAGTCATCAGCACTGTCAAGGCCCCTGCTGTCAGCAATGTGGCAGGTCTCAAAGACAGAATGGGCAAACTTTTCAGGAAATTATTGAGTCTCCAGTTGCCGTATCCTTAATGAATGATAGCAGGAGTATGTTCTCTCCCTATCTCTCTCTCTCTTTCCTCTATTCTTCTATCTTTTAATCCTCTCTCCCGTTCTCTCTCTCTGTCTCTCTTTGTTGTTTTCTATGAAGTCAAGCTAAATGTAAAGGGCATTAACCTTAACAGTTTTAATTGCTCACAAGCTAAATCTTAGTGGCTTCACTTGTGTTTAGCTCTCTCTGTCTCTCTCTCTCTCTCTCTCTCTGTCTCTCTGTCTCTCTGTCTCTCTGTCTCTCTCTCTCTCTCTCTCTCTCTCTCTCTCTCTCTCTCTCTCTCTCTCTCCCTCTCCCTCTCCCTCTCTCTGTCCCCCTGCTCCATGAAGTGGATGGTGTGAGACACTACACACTGCTGGTGGGCCATATATCCTTTTCCGGCTCTCTTGTTGTTTTTTTCGTCTGTTCCATTCTGCATTTTAGAGACTTTCACATTGTCACAGATGTGATTACAAGTTATTTTTTTTAGATTTCCTTAACTCGGACCACAGGGACAGTATCAGCCTGGAGAACTCAGCTTCTCACCCCCTCCTGAGGAAAATTTCTGGTGTGAAGCCTTTATTACTTCCACTGGAACTGATGCTGAAGCCTTTGAAAAAACGTTTCCGCTATCACTTCTATGGCCAGAAGCAGACAAATAGTCTAGACAAGGTATGCCTTCTGACTTATGAAATCTGTGTTGTTGGAGATGTAAAACATTAACTGCAATGTTAGCAAGGAAGGTAATGAGGTAGCTTCCCTTGTCTTAATGGGGCTCAAGCAAGTGTAGTCTATTTGTATTCCCACAAATTATATATAAAACTATAGTTATTCTTACATGTGCTGAAAATCCTTACTGCCAAGCAATTTATCAATCAATGACACATGGAAAATGTACTGGTGGTTGATAAAATTATGCGTTGGTTTGTCATGAAAGATAGGAGTTTTTTGTTTATTACAAAGACACTATGTTTTCTCTCTTGAAAGATTTGAGAATAATGTCTTGCCTATGGTTTCTTTGCCCTAAGAAAGGTTTACATATAATGCGTAGCTTTGCTTAAATTTGAGTAAAATATTAAGCCTATATTTTCTATGTCCCAAGAACGGTTTGAGTATAATGTATAGCTTATGCTTTCTATGTCCCAAGAAAGATTTAAGTTTAATATTTAGCTTATGCGGCTTATGGTTTCTTTGTCCACAGCCTGAATGGTATTTGACCCAGGTCCTTAGTTGGACGCGAGATCACAGTGACTTCATGGACCGCAATATACAGCCTCTCCTTGTGGAGGCAGGGAAGGAATCGCTCTGTGCTAAGGTGGGACTCCTCTCTGGTTCTCTGTATCATTTTACGCACTTCAGTTGTCAACTTTTATGAGAATGTGTAGGGGACATCACTTCTGGGTGGAGACGCATACTTTAAAAAGTGATGGCTGATTTTTATTTTCAATATGTTGACTCCAGTTTGTCAAAGTATTAAAAACTTGACAACAAAATGAATGTAGACGGTAGGTGTCTCTATATTGAGAGCATGAGTTGGAATGTGTTAATGGTATGGATGGTGAAAAAGGATATGCCAAGGAGAAGGAAGAAGATGTGGTTTGTAAATTCACGCTTTACATCATGGTTTGACTGGATTTTGTATTGGGTTTTATGTCAAGTTAAGAATGTAATGAAATTTGTGAAAATTGTTTTAGGTTAGTTTTGCAATGAAGAACTAGTTAATTTCTATCTTTTCAGGTAACTATTTAGGTGGTCTCCCCCCGCCCATTTTGAACTGCCAGCCTAGTGTTCAACCTCTGGGGTCACCACTGGGTTCACAGTAGTTCTGCAGTAATTTCTCTCAGGAACAGAGAACAGCGCACATTGATCAGTTGCTGAACTGTGCTTTCATTGTTGCTTTGTGTGGGTTTTACTTTCAGACTGAGTTGACGCGAGGTATGGTCATGATGGTGATGGAGAAGATCGCCCACGACCTCCCGGAGCTGGTGCACGACGAGGCCAAGTTCTCCCATCTTATCGACGAGGTGCTCCTGTTTGAGAGCGAGATTCGGAACACATACTCCTACCCTCCAGTCCTGCCGGGTTGCCTAGATGTCTTGTGCTCTCAAGAGGCTCTGACCAAGTGGCTTCTTGTGGAGAAAAAATGTAAGTGGATTTTGTTGTTTTTTTGGCTTGATGCTCCTGCTTGCACTTGTGTTCTGGTCTCTGTTGTGTAGCAAGTAAGCTCTACACAGTTGAGGAAAAAGACATGAGTTAGATTTCTGGGTTGGGAAGTGTTTTTAATGGACTATACTGGGATGTTGTATTCTACTCAGCTCAGGTTGGCGCATGACAAGCAGGATCAGAGCAGCATGCTTCTTATATGATTTAAATTGTGTTGATGGTGACAAAAGACAGTAACAGTTTTATTTTGTAAGAATGTTTATTTTAAAAGGTGGCCTGTGCTTAGATGGATTTTCTCACTCTCATGAAGGTATGATGAGCAATTTGGCTTTAAACTAGAGTAAGCAGTTACCTGGAACATAGTACTTTTTAAATTTGAATAATCATGGATGTTGAGTTTTCTTAAACTTTTGTAGTGCTCATTTGATGGAGTAATATTTTTTTCAGCGAAATATATGACGAACACTTTAGATTTTTTGCTCCATGGAGAATGTTTTTCTAAATTACAAAAAGGAAAAGCAGAATGTGATCATCATGCCCCATACATCCCCCACAGATGCGATGCAAAAAACTGAACAGCTGTTGCAGTCAGTGACAGCTTGGGAGTCACAGTACAGAGACATAGCTGACCTGGATGAGGTGAAAGTGCCTGAATGTGCAGAGAGCTTCATGAATCTGCTACTCACCATCACAGGTACAGTGGTCAGAGAGTTCTTGTTGAAGCTTACTTAACCTTTTGCCACTCGGAGGCGCTGATGTGCGCCGTCATCGCTAACCCCCGTAGTCGCCGATGTGCGCCGACACGCCCACTCGATTCACCTGTTTGCACTACTTTCGTTTTTACGTTGTCTCGCTTCCTGCGAGGTCGCACGAGATTGCCGAGCTTACAGCGAGAATCTAGAGTGGTTGCCCTTTACTGTCGTGTATATTTGGTGAAAATCGATCAAAGCATGCGAGAGCGACGATTTTTTAAAATTTCGTGCTTTTTAGAGACCTAAATCTAACTTCGTGGACGAAATTTTGCGTCGGTACAGGCACTGTATACGATGGAGACACTTATAATTGGGATTTAAGTGCCGATATCGTCGACAAAGGGGCTAGATCTAGTGCTAGTAGTACAAGTAGTCACTCGGACACTCAGTCGTGAGAGAGAGAGAGCGAAAATTATAGTAGGAGAGCGAACACGATGTCACAGATCTAGATCTAGGCTCTAGGGGAGGGGAACAACTATGATAGTGATGTTGATGGTGAGTTCGTTGCAGGAGGTGATGAGTTAGAAGACTCTGATGAAGAAGATAGGCCTAGCACCCACAGCACTTTAGCTAGATCTAGTACTACTAGCTCTACTACTACGTAAAAAAGGGAGGAGCAACACTGGGACTGTGGGCTCTGTCACAACAATCCTTTAGAGCATGTTGTGATCAGGATACATGGTAAATAGGGGTCGTGCCACTACTGTGTAAAGACCAGAAACTTTACAAAGCTTGACACAGGGAGTGAGACAGTGACAGGATACAATTTGGGCCAGGTTAGGCTTTGCAAAAGACTGTGCTGGGTAAAACATCATGAACTTCTGTGGGCATAAAAAGCGGGTTGTGTCTTTTGGTTTGTTTTTTTCACTTCAGAATTTTTTTTTTACCTAATACACAATGATTTTTCATATAAAACCATACATTTTCTTGAAGTTTATTCATTTATCTGTGCTCTGACACCTAAACTGTAATTTAGACCTATCCTCTGATTTTTAATGATTTTTAAAAATAATATAGTCATGCAGTCTAAGCGGAGTTAGGTCCCTTTTGCCAGAATTTCAGCCTTGTTGGGCAGGGATAGCTCTGAGGGTGAAAGGGTTAATGAATTTGACTTGTGTAATTTTACTTATCTGTATTAATTTAAAGTACAAAGCAATTTGTCAGAATTTTTATGCATGAATCTTTCTTGTTTTTATTTTCAATAAGGGGATTTAAAAACTTGCAGAGATGTCTTGAAAGTTGGGTAGAGGAATGAACAACAAGGAATAAGGGATTAGGTGTTTTATTATAACAGCTATGAAACCATGAAAATGATTCATCATCATCATCGTTGCTTTTCTCACCCTGCACCAGGGTATAGGCCACGGACAAACACTTTCCACCTTTCCCTATCCTGGGCTAGCCTCTTGATGTTATTCCATGTGTCTTACCACTTTTCTGTACTTCAATTTCTATGTTTCTTCTCCAGGTCCCACACGGTCTTCCCCTTGATCTCTTACCCTGTAGATTTCCAATCCAACGCTTTCTTTGTTATATATGAAAATGATTGCATGGTGCTTACCATGTAGCTTTATGTTTCAGAGCGCTATCGCAGACTACCAGTGTCTGAGGCGAAATTACAGTTCTTGTCCGTCCAGCTAGAGCTCCTGGAGGACTTCCGCATGCGGCTGGTGCAGGTTCGGAAAGAGGCAAGCCAGGAACCTACTGGGCAGCGTTTCTGTGCGGTGCTGAACGCTACGCACTACGTGGTGCAGGTGCTGCGCGAGTGGAGTGAGCTCACAGTGAGTTGGTTGTTTTCTTTGTGCGCTTGTCAGAGTAGAAATAAGGTCGCTACATGCCGGAGAATGTCCAGAATTGGAAAAATGATGATTGTTTTTTAAAAATATTTTTTATTTTCTTTGTTCCTTGACAGATTGTGGCCTTTTGTACAATGTCATGTTGACTAGTTTTAAAAATCTTTTTACGTGGTAAAGGCAAATTGATTTTCAGAAATTTGTACTATATTTAAATGAATAGCCCAAAATGTTCAGAAAATATTTTTCGAGTTATCTAGCCCTTGCTACAGATTATTGAAAAATATGTTGTTTTCAATGAAGCCAAGCTAAATGTAAAGGGCATTAACCTTAACAGTTTTAATTGCTCACAAGCTAAATCTTAGTGGCTTCACTTGTGTTTATCTATCGTAAAAATATACAGCTGATAAAAATGTAGTTTATTCAGTGCATATTTGATATCCATTTTTGTGATTTCGTTGCAGTTTTTCCTCCAGTTATTGTGCTACAAAAACAACAGAAACCTGAAGACGGAGGTGATTGAAAGTCTGACTGCAACTGACCACAAACGAACCTCTAGTGACTCGGACAGCTCTGTAAGTTCTAGTGATTTTTCTTATTGATAGTGAATATTTGTTCTTTAATGGAATACGAAGGCCCCATACCCATTGCCCTTTATCTCCAAATCAAAATAAAGAGCACAGCACTAAAGGGCTAGCTGTGGGGCTAGAAGAAATCTGGAAGCAACAGAAACATCTTACTAGAGAAATAGGGCTGTTGATCTGAGGAAGCTAAATTTTTGTCAACAGCTGAAGAAAAAGAAAGAATGTGTTCCTTGTTGCCAGGAGTTGACATTTATGAATTTTTTGGTATTTTGTCTTTGTATTTGACTTGTAATTAAATACTTTCTAATCTTTACATTTGTGCTCTACTTTTTGTTACTTTTCTTTACCTTAGGACCCTCTTGATAGCTGTTCAAAGTTACTTGTGAGTTGTCTCAGTTGTTTTTGTAAAGTAAATCTCTACATCAGTGCGTTTGAAGGGATTTTTGTATATTTTTGTGCCTGGGTGTAGTCAGTGTGAGTGCACGTTTAGAGAGTGCTGCTAGCAGGTCCTTGTTCACTGTCCCTCTGATATTTCTCTGTATGTCTTGTTTCAACCCCCCCCCCCTCCAACTCTCAATGACCATTGTTGTTGAGTGACAATATGTTTCTAAGTAATTACATTTTATACATGTGCTGTATATTCCAGTAAGCGGGTGATAATGTGCTGTGTGGGTGGTTGGCGGGTGCCCCGTTATGGATTGCTCTTTCTTTCTAATAAAACATCTATCATCCTTATCTCTCCCCTTTCTTTTCTGTTTGTTACTCAAAAGTAACACCTCTAACTTTTGGCATTTATCTTACCTATTTGTGTTGCAAGTGCCACAAAATTGGTGCTAAAACTAAAAGAAATGTGGTGTGTACCCCAGGATGTTCCCGTCCCAGATCTGAGCGGCCTGTCCCTGGAGCACACTGTGTTTGAGGAGATCACCTGTCTGTTTGAGAGCATGGAGACGGACATGATCAAGACCGCGTGCCACTACGTGTTTGTGGATGTGCAGGCTCGCAGCCAGGCCTACAGGAAGGACAGGTGAGTTCGTCATTGAAATAGTATGCACTGGTATGTCAGTTTGGCGTAAAAGTAAAGTGTAGTCCTTTCATGCCTTTTCACATCACTATTATTGTAGCCAGTTGTTTTCTGTTCTTATAAAAAGGTAGCTGCAAACCTATCATGACCCCCTTTCTTATGTACAAGGTTAAGCAGTTTGATATAGGGCCTACACTTTACTTGTATCCAGTTTTCCTCCTATATCTTTATTTCTGAAATTGGATACTCCAACATATTTGTTTCTTTTATCATCTCATGGTTGTACTGTCTATATGTTTTTTTTCTTGTTTTGATCTTGCAAGTTCATGGAATCCCCAAAACGGATAACTTATTGTATGTAATGCATTTGCCACAAAACCAGCTGAACTGAATGTTCAGAAAGAATGTTGCAGACTGACAAATAAAATGTGCTGGAAGGAGTTTTAAAATTTACTTTGGTTTTCTTTTAATGAAAATATTCCATAAATACATCTGCTGTGGTCAGAATCATAGGCGTACCACAAACCTAGATGCTGAAAAAAGTAGTTTTATATATTTGTCAGAATGTAAAGTGAAATAGGCAAAGCATTATTATTTTAGTTTGATATATAAATGGTATGTGTATTTTCCTCTTTTAGGTGGATCTCCTTGCCCACCCCAAAGGAGCTGAGCACGACATTGGGCCTGTCTCCGACCGCCTGTGAGATGTTCCTAGTGCTAAAAGACCACCTGGCAACCGCACAGAGCCAGATGAGCGCTCAGTTGTTCCAGACCTTCTGGAAGACCCTGGCCAAGAAACTGGATAACTTTATTTTAACGGAGGTGAGCTGAGTAGTTCAGTTTGTGTTCATGTATAAGGAATCCTGACATTGCATATTTGTGATAGTTTTGCTGCTAAAATATTCAGAATGCAGAATTGCACATTTATTATTTTCCTCAGTTGGTGGTTTGGGAAAATTGCAATGGTGCAATAATTGTCCTCAGTGAGTTAAGACAGTCATAAATTAGATAATCCTCTTCCTGTGTTTTAATTTTGTTGTATTGATTCCATGTTTTCTCAGGTGATCTTGGTGAATCACTTCAATGAAGGGGGAGCACTGCAGATTAACTTTGACATTACTAGGAACCTGATTCCTCTCTTCGGAGACTTCACCAACAACCCAGAGGCCTATTTCCGACTGTAAGTCGTCTTTGTAAGACTGATTGAAAGCTCCATGTCAGAAGTTGTTTTTATTAAAAAGAGCTCATGCATTTGGGACAGCTTTGATGCGCTTTTGGTATTAGAATGGATTTGCTCTCTATTATAGATGTGGACTCATTCTATAATGTTTTATGACTTTTCTTTTTAGGGTTTTAGGTTTTGAACTGATTGTTGATTATATTTGTCACAAACTGCATGGATGTAGCCTTGAACGCTTAATCAGCTGCTTGCTTTGTGTGCTTCCCGGAAAGCTGAGAATGCTTTTGAGTGTTCTATTGTCTCCGGGGGTAATGATATAGTTTGTAAAGCACATAGAGCTTGCTGTCGAGCGGGGCTATGCACTATACAAACAGTGTTTATTAGTTATTAACCTGTGTGTTGCTCTGTTCTCAGGTCTCGTGAAGCGTGCATCCTCCTCACCTTGCCGACCGGGTCAGCTCTTCTCCTGAAGGAAGTTCTCTACTCAAAGCTGCACGAGTCTCTGGAGCAGCAGCAGCTGAGACAGCAGCCAGAAGTGAGCACAGCCATGCGCGATGTAGGCGTGTTCACCCTCGTTCCAGAACAGTGTGAGACGGTGCTGAGTTTGAGAACAAACTTGACGTTATCTTGATGATGCTGTGCTAGTCTGAATGTGTGTGTGTAGTGTGTCTTCTTGGGGATGTGTCTTTGTCATGGTCATAACACAGTTGCTTAGTTTTTTGGAGACACACCCATTTTCCTTTTCACAAAATTCTGTGATGCAACCTTTTTGCCCTTTTTATTTGCATACATTCACTAGTCTTATCCCATCGATAGAACCCAGATCACACTTACATCGTTATAAAGTACGGCTTCTCTACTTTTCCATACCTCATGTCTATGTTGCAAAGGTCTTGTCTCGCCTTGAGGACCTCCAATTTGTCCACAAACTGTGTGAAATGCACTATAACAGGTCTCGTTTTGTTTCCGACTTGTGGACCAATCCGGTGTGTACGTATGAAAACTTCCTCTTTCCAGGCTTTACAAGACACTGTTCTGTTTAACACCTACGGGACTGGCCTCACACTTGACTTTCTCTGTCCCACGACCAGAGCCGCCGCTCACTTACTGGCTATTTGCCATATATATGCATTAATCAAATATGAATTACTCAGCCCCTGGTAAAGCTATAGACATGAAACTTCACCAAAGTGTCCTAAGCTTGTTCCCCTATACTGTTATACATTGTTTTAAAAAGAATATTGGCTTTGTTCATATTGGTGTAATCAGTTATGTAAACAAAGCATAACAAAATGAATAGGCAAACAAGCTCAGAAAAGACATCATCATAATGGCGTGAAACTTATTTTTCATTAACCAATTGATACAACAGACAATTTTACATATATTTCAAGGTCCAGGTAAGTTCAGATAAATCTAGTGAATGTAATTGTACTTCATGTCCACGTAAGAGAAAAATACTCCAATGACCAGGTGAAAAACATTTAAGATTGCCACACATTTTTCCTAGCAATGAATAATGCACACCAACAGAATTACACATTACAACACAGAATTACAAATTACAACACAGAAGAGAAAAAAATTGACTCGTTTTGGACGAGATCTCAGCCTAGTCGGCTTAGTTGTAGGATCGAACCTGACGTGCATTATCTTGACTAGTCTGATAGGACTCAAAGCAAGGCTCAACACAGAGAGGAACTTTGTAGACTCTGCACTTGTGTCTGGTTTGTTTGCGCCGGCCACTGTCCTTTTTGCTGCTGCAACAGACACATTGTCTGGTTGGTTGGCGTTTCTTTTCTGTTGTTGGAATACATTCTGAGAAGTGGGGACTGCTCTTGTGACTGAGACTCTTGATTGTAGTCGGCAGGTGGGGGCTGTGTTTGTTTTTCAGCCACATCAGCAAGGATGCACCGTCTCTCTGGAGGCTGTGTCGGCTTGAGTTAGGCGTCCTTTAGTTTGACCGGCTCTTCTCTGGGGTATTTTAACTTCTATTTTTCTTTTACCTCCTCTTTTTGACCTTGTAGTTTTGGGTATACTATTTGTTATTTTCTCTAAGTCTCCTCATAACACTTGAGGGGTATGTAAACATGGTTCTGAGGTCGAAATGACAACGGAGTGTTTGGGGAGTAGGTTATTCTATTGTCCTCTTTAGTGAATACACTGTCTGTGTCAGAACCACAGGCTGGGACTCCATTTTGAAAAAAATTTTCACTTGTCAAAACAAATTCTTTATACATTTTTGCAAAAAGAGACCTGAACTAAAACTGAGCCAAACAAGTAGACCAGCACTGACTACACCAGTCCACCAACACAGAAAAGTTGGATTATCTTTAGTAATTTTTATCCTTTCAAGGAGAATTTTATATCACGTAAATCACAAGATCCTGATACCTTTATGATAGTATAATTTTTGATAATATCCAGAACTTATAGCAGTCACAAACACCACAAAATAGTAGGAGCACATGAAGAAGGCTGCCTGTTGGCACGATCACAACTCGCTGTTCATTGTGCAGCGAGGAGCCCCAAGATTTAGAGCATTGGCTGCTGAGATGCCCTATTACGGAAGTTCGGCAGTGGCATCTCTTTGGGGAGGATTCAGGGAGTTTGGACCACAGAACACCAATACTAGTTTGTGTAATGTCAGCTTTCCACAAAGTTGAAAAAGGATGAAAACCGGGCTTGATCACCCTCCAAATCACTCCTTGTAACCGGCTTCTTCCCGACCGGTGCGGAGAGAGAATGCGAGTCTACAATATCCCACATGCTGTTCACGGTTCCACAAAGCGTGCTGTGTGAAGAGCATCTTTGGACATCAACAACTTTGAAACGTAGAATTTCAGGGTCAAGTGGCCGAGTGTGAAAATATCTGGCATGCCAAGATGACTTTCATCTTTTTCCCTCTGGGCAGGGTGAAGAGACACTCAGCTTGGGAGCAGTGCGAATTGACTCGCCAGATGTTCCGAGGGAGAAGAGCTCTTGGAGGTTGCACCACTTTGCAGTCATTCTTTCGCCATCCAAGCTGAAGGAGATGTTTTTCGTCATGAAATTGTTCCTCAAGTTTTTGATGAGGTGTGGTGGATCTGGCATGAAAAAAGACTGAGTGGTGTCATGAAACACATATGGTCGTTCCACACACACACACGTTTTTCATCCATTTCCATTCGCAGGATTCTTGGTCCATCACGATGGCATCAACATATAGACCAATCGCTTTGACCAGGTTGTGCTTGGCCACAAAATACCCCGGCACCTGCTTCCACTTTAGAGTCAGTCCCCTGCTCAAGACCAAATTTCTTGGTCAGCGATTTCATCACTCTGGTGATGCTTGCGGCAGTTATCAGAACCAACCAGCTTGTCACAATGATGATTGTATGTCAGGGCTTTGGTCACAGTCATTCCATCAAAGGAAAGTGTCACTCTTTTCTCATGTTCCCCCAGTGCTAATGTTCTCAATTGCATCATTTCCCACAGACTTTGACACAAACCGACCCCAGTCAACACAGTAGAAAATTGCCTCCTGAGTGTTGTTGGGTGCGGTAGCTGAAACCCAACGGAGCGGAGAACGACGTATGCAGAAGTGCTCCTAAAGTACACAGCGAGACACAACTCCATAGCCTCTTTCTCGGTGTCCCAGTTGATCCTCTTCTTCGCCCCCATCAGGATCTTGAATAAAACTGCTGGAACAAGTGGTAGGTCTTTAAGAAAATTTTCCAGGATTGCTTCTTTCTTCGCACGAAGAGACGCTACTTGTTTAGCTCTACTGCAACCTCTCTCACCTCTCTGTACACCTCAGGCACCCCCTAGTTGTACATCTGTCCCGATCAATGATTATAGGTTCCTGATCTACAACACTTTCTTTCTTGATCTGAAGACTCCTGGTCCAATAAACTAGGGTTGCTATCCAACTCCTCTTCCTCTTCATAGCTGTCTGCATCCATACCAATTTCGTCAACCACCTCCTTTTAGAAATCATTGTGTGGCATGCCAGTGATTTTCCTTGTTCTAAATTGCCACAAATCGGAAGCAAAATATCTAAACAGAAGTAATAAGTAACCGATAGCAGGGCTGCCAAGTTGTGGAAAATTACTCGAGGGACACATCGGACTTCGCAGAGCTACATAACTATAAGACTTAACATCCCCCCATAAAAACTCTTTGGATTTGTTAAACAAAAAATTCAGCCAGGTGAAGAGTAGAGATTCTAGTACGAAGCAAAAATGAAGGGGAAAAAAATAATTATAATAATGGTGGACTTACTAGTCCTTGCTTTGTTAAAGCCATGGTTGTTGCAGACTTTCATGCTTTCAGTACACTTGCTGAGGGATCTCTCTTGAAGCACTCTTGTGTATTTGTTTCAAGATGAGAAGACTTTGCAGGGTATCAATGGACATAGAACTGCGAAAATCTGTCCTGTTCACTTTAACCGGACTGAAAATTTTTTCACTGCTGCGCTGTGGTCTAAGAAAATAATTTTTAGCATGATAGAGGGAAGATGTTTCAACAGAGGCGAGCCAGAATGATTTTTCAGTTTTTGCAGGTTTTTCCATTGTTGGTCCATGGATAACTTTTCAAAGTTAGGAGTGTTTAGCAGGTCACAGTCATCAATGGTCACAGCAGAAGGCAGCAAGAGTGGAAACTTTTTCAAGAACTTCAAGGAAGAAAACTTGGCATTCTCTCTCCCCAGAATATCTGCAACCTCTGCATGCTTAATTACAGGCTCATCATCCAGTGGCAGATTTTTAAGGAGATATGTGCTCAGGAACTGCACAACATTCTTGTAAAAGAATTTCCTCTTTTCTGTGCTGATGTTCTATGTTTCCATATAGTCCCTGAGACTAGAACCAATCATTAGGTTGTTTCCATCCACAATGTTGTAGGCTGATGAATAATCAACATCGGAGACAAGCTTTCCCCTCAGCCCACATGGCTTGACAAACATTAGCTTGAGGTCTTTAATAAGTCCTGACAAGAGTCTGTGTTGTCTGTGAATTAGAGGGGCCTCTTGTTTGAAGAGCTGGTTTGCCCAGTCAAAAACAGGAATTACATATGCCAGGTAGAGAACACACATCTTCGTTGTCCTTGATTCCAAGTTTTTTAGAACATTTTCCTTTCTGCTGCCCCCATCTTCTCTAGCTCCAATTGATCCTGCTTCCTCTTTATCTTCTCCACATTCAGCTTTGAAAAACAGCCGTTATGGCTCCCATTGAGCTAAAACCCACTTGCATGTTGCTCCAAGGGAGAGCCATCTAGTAGGGCAGTGTTATGGCACTTCCGTTACAGGTGTTTCACATTCTTGTTGAAAGTCCTTCAATGTCTTTTTCTGGGTAGCACTTTATTGGGATTAGAGAAGAAGTCGGAAATGATGCTTTTGACACAGATTTGGCAATCTGCACATGTTTGGGTCCGTTGATGTGTCGTTCACAGTCGGTTCTTCCATCATGGCCGATAGAAAAATCACATCTACACACTGAGCAATGCACACTGTGGATATTTGATGGCAGTGCTGATAAACACGGCCATTGGACACTATACTTCTTTCGGAATGAACACAGGCGTTTAGCTTGTTTTGATTTGGGCTCACGAGCCCCTAGATCCGCTGCAGTTCGCTTCTGGTTCGACATTTTGAACCATGCAACAACTACAACTGGCCTACGTGACTCGTGCTAGGCCTAGCTTTGCCGTGCCTACTTGCCCGACTTGCCAGATAAAATATTATTTAAAAATTCAAGACAATACCAAACATTGGCCAAGTTCGAAAATTTGGCTAACATAATGAAGAGTTATCCTTAATATGCCTAAAGGGTGTTTTTTTTTCAATTTTAGTTTGGCTTTACTCAACATTTTTCCTCGCCCATTTCCCGCATGGCTTGACCGGTGTAAACAAAAGCGGGGCCCCCTGGGAAAAATTGCAATGTTGAGTTTCGTGCGGGACATTGCACGTACTCGCGGGACCGCGGGACAGGTGCCCAAAATGTGGGACTGTCCCGCACGATGCCGGACACTTTGCAGCCCTGCGATGGGTTTACAAAAATATGGAACTTGTTGTTAGAAACATGGGCTGGCCTTTGTTTAGGTCTTTTCTCTCATGAGTATTCTCATCCGCTGTCCTGGGGAAGCAGTCTGTCTTGTGACTCTAGTCATTCTATGTATACAATTAGTAACAATTATATCAGTTTTGAGTCTCTTTGCTTTGATGTGGTGTCGGTAGCATCGACCTAGTGGTTAGGCTATCGAACCCGTAATCGAGAGACTACGGATTGGGGGGTTCAAGCTTCAGTTCGGTACGGCGTTGTGTCTTTGGGAAAGGCTTTTTACATGAATTTCTTATTGGGCTCAGTCCTTTCGGAGATGGACGTTTAATTCGGAGGTCCCCCTCTAAAATAACCTAACAGTGTTGACAGGGGCATTAAACCTATACAATTTTTTTGTTATGTTGTAAGCATACTTTAACGCATAGGCCTACTGTTCCTTGAAAGTGGGTTTGACTCCACGTTTCCATCCAAAAGTAATGTGTTTACTACAGATTCATGCACAAGCTTATACTTGAGGGATTTTATCATTTTAGTTTCTGCGGCTATTACCCATATAACCAGGGAACCGACAAATAGTTGGCAGAACAACCCACTCGCTATATATTCTCTTGTTTTGTGTCAGGTTAAACTTATTCGTGTTGTGTTTTCAGTTTACGCCCTCCAGACTCCAGAAAACAGTTCCATGGTACAATGCCACTATTTCGCGGACGTCATGGTGGCCTAACCTCAACAATGGTTACACAACACACCGTTGACACACTACTTTTAGAAATGAAGAATTCTTGCAATACTATTCTGCAAACATACACCCAGCTACTCTCAAAGTATGCACAGCATTTTTACAATTCTACTGATATAAGATTTAACACACTATGCTACACAAAAGCCCAAGTATTTTCTGAAAAGGCTGCCTTCTGAAAATGTCAAAGCTCAAACGTATATTTATTTGCTCCTCTCCTTCAGGTCTACTCCTATAGCAGTATCAAGGTTGACTTACCTAAGCAGTGGTGGTAGTGGTAAAAAAAAGTTTTCTAACCTAAGCGATTGTGATATGACCCTGACATATTGTTATTGGTGTCTGACTTGTGACCATGATGTCTGTGGCGAGTGTGTCTCAAGGTGGATGTGATATTAAACCATTTTGCAGAGTTGTGAGAATTTCCGTTCTATGTATTGTACTGTGAAGCAGATTTGTGAGATGATTTTAATGTAGTATTATAATGCTTGTGGTTCCAACTTTCCTTTGAATTGAACTGTGTACAGGTAATTAATGTGTTGTGTCACTTAGGACAGCTTCAAGCCATAAAGTAGGTTGTTGGCGGACGCAGAGCTGTGGTCTGCTCGTTCTGATTTTTTGTTTTAGTATAGCCTGATCTGTTCCTGGCAAAATGTGGCCGTAACTGTGTTGCCTCGTTGCAAACACACTCTTTGGAACATCACAGCAGCTGCAGCAAACCCGCACTTGTCTCTACATAGCGTTGGACAGAAGGGCGAGAGCCCAGCTATTGCTAGATCGATGACTACAACAACTCATTGCAGACTACAGCTATCCACTGGGAGAAATGTGACCATTATCAAAGTTACCCTGTCACCTTTTCCCAGTGAGACGCCATACAAACATGCTGATTTCTTACTTCTCCTCACGATTTCACCAGATAAGATGCATCTTTATTGTCCAGATCCTGGCACCAGCATGATATTGGTAAAGGATGAGGGATGGATTTGACTTCTTGCTCCAGGTGGTTAAGGTTTTTTTTGTTTTTGACACAAACTGATTTACCAGGATGTTTAGACGGCCCATTATGTATGTAGGGACCAAAGAATTTAAATTGAGAATTTCAATTCATGGTGCTCTGGTGCAGAAGACCTCAGTTTGATCTTTTCTAGAATATACATATCTTTTTCCGTTTCCTTGTATGTGTCTTCGATTACTTCAGTCTTTCTCACCACTATTGTTACAAATACTGTATGACCAGTGATAAATTTATCTTAACCTATGAATTATTGAGTTTATTCATTTTTGTGGAAGTACTCGTTCTGTCTCTTGAAAACGGACGTTTGGTGAATGTTTTGGTCTGTTCTGCTCTTTCTTCTTTTGCGTGTTGGGTTTTCCTATACTATTCCTTGTGTATGTGTTATTATTGAAATGACCTGATGTACATTGTACTGTACAATATTCACATTTTTTCTGAGAAAAAAAATGTGTTGGGACCTAGAAAGAGGAAATGAAATCTGAATACAATTCTTGGGTGATTGGCAGGTGCTCTTGTGTGGTTTTCTCCTTCTTTCCAATAAAACATCTACTGTCCTTATCTCTCCTTCTTTTTTGTGTTTGTTACTCCCTTGTAACACTTCTAATCTTTGGCACTTGTATAACCTAATTGTGTTGCAAGTGCTGTAAACCTCTTATTAAAACTAAAGATCTAGATGCCAGATAATTACTCTGATGATTCGATCGTTCCGCCTTTACTCCAAGAACAGCTCGTCGCCTCAGAACTATTTTGTCCAAAGTGCCTCCTTACTATTACTAAAGTACACTTTGGACTAAATAGTTCCGAGGTGACGAGCTGCCAAAGTAATTTTACGAGACTTTTTTTGGTTTCTCTTTGGTGACATCTGTGGTAGCCACTGATGGACCCCACAATTTAACCATCTGTCTGTTGTCTGTTAGGCTTTTCCCAGCTCTGAGAGTCAAAGTGCTTCTTTCCAGCTCAACAAATTAGTCATAATCATTTATAATTCCACTTTGACAAAAATGAGGAAGCAAAACAGCAGCTTGTTAATTTAATAATATTCAAGGGGACTGATAAGTCTTATGTTCGATTTGACGACAGCGGCATCTGTGATGTAGCAGTTAGGCACTTATGCACTCCACTGTTGCACACAGGAGACCTGAATTCGATCCTGAGTGGGGAGAAATTTTTATCAAATATGTCGGTCTTTCAGTGAGGATGTTGCATCCCTCTGTCCGGGTTGGTCATGACAGGCAGGATCAGATTAATCAGAAACCCGCCTCCAAAATGATCTAAATTGTGTCAATGGGGATGTAAAGACACCTACATTTAAAAAAGAAAAAAAATATGGTTAATGTGTTTCGCCTCCATTAGAACAATTTGGTTAGACCATTTAGGAGGTGGGCTGTCTCAAACTGGCCTGTCACTAGTGTCAGGGCCAAGCTGGACAGAGTAGGACACAGCATACCACTGAACCGACAGATACCTCATAGAATGACTTCCCCACTTAAAAGTACTTAACTCTTAGTCTTACACCACATGTCAGTTATCTTGTTCTTTTTCACGCGAGTGGAAGGGAAAAGATGCAAGTGAATTTTGCTGATTATACAAGCCTAACTAAGTTTAAGCATACCATACTCAAATATGCTTAAGCGGGAGGGTGGGCTCCCATGGCCTAGAAGTTAAAGTATTCGCCTCTCATTCAATAGGTCCCGGGTTTAAATTCGGATAGCCACAGACAATTTTCTTCTCTAAATTGTCTCCTTTCACCTTCTTAACTGCTCTCAAGCAGTCTGTCGTCTGCTTTCGTCTCCACTTTCTGCCCTCACCTCCTCTGCCCCCTCCTCTGGGCTCCTGACTCTTTCTGCAGCCTTTCTACTGCTACTCCTTGGCTCTTTCTTACTGCTGTCTTTCAGCCACACCCTTGATCTTATGGTAGGAAGGATCTACACCGAGCCTTCTCGGACAAGGGCAGAAAATCAGGGAGGTCCTGTGTGCAAATTGCGCACGTTAAAGATTCCTTGGTGGTCCAAAATCAATAAGAGTAGGCTTCGTCCGCCACCCAGGCAAAATCAAAATTTCCTACCAACTGAAAATGTTTAATGTGTCCAGCGCACTCAAATGACCTGATGCAGTTGTGAGCGCCGTAAAACACTCACCACCCCCCCCCCCCAAAAAAAAAAAAAAACAACCCAAAAAAACAAACCTTATGCACTTGCAAACTCTTGCCAAACTAAACATACTCAAACCTTAGGTATATTAATATTACAGTAAAGCATTTACTAATAATATGCTAATGTGTACACACACAATTATTATTTTCTCTATATATAAAGAAAAGAGATAAAAAGACACATAGCGATTTTGACTTTGTGTTTTCCAGTTAAAACATGCCCAATTACAACAGTTTGAATCAATTCGATGTTCAAAAATGTTGCAAGCATTCACAATACATGCAAAACATAACATACTTCATTGCATAAGAGTTATTTTTCACAAGGTAAACATTTGAACAGTTCTGGTTACACAATTTCAACATGATTTATAGCACAGGAAATGAAGTCCATTACAACAGATCAAAATATTTTCTATATTATATTCAAATAGTGGAGCAAATATAAGGAAAAAACATGTAGGCTACCAGTATCTGAACCATCCAAAGCTACATTCACAAAATTTTAGAACCTTTGAAGTTCAGCTTTGTGTCAGTGGTTCGATCAACACCTTGATTGTTTGTATTTATATAGCATTCTGGTTTCACACATATGTTGCTTTTTTAATTTAAATAAATATTTATGAGGCAGATGGCATGGTCCTTTTGTCTACAGTGAAAGGCAAATTGCCTTTCAAATTTTTGCAAATCAATCAGAAGAAGAAAAGCTGGTAATAATTGGGTATATATTCATGAGTTGTGCAAAAGGGCCTAGTGCCATTTCCGAGGAATATCTTCATTTGACTTTCCTTTATCTTGATTTCCAGGCTATGCACTCGAAAATGATGGAACTTCAACACTCAGCACATGGCTATCTTTGAGCATGACCAAGCAGTAGGTGAAATAAATGACAGCTTTCAATGCTTCACATGTAATGTATGGAGAAGTTGAGACAGCTCACGCAAACTCTAATATATACGTCTTCACAACATACAGCACTGCAAAGAAATTAGAAAGATATAATAGAAATACTGTTTATGTACTAAATATATCTTATACACAAGCCAGGGAGAATGTGAGATGGGTCCGTTTCTTTTTGAGAAATCTAACTAAAGGATTAAACGTAAGTCAAGTTCCAGTTTGTATTTATGCTGATCAGAGAGAAAGTCTCAGAACTTTTAAAATCAAAACTTTATCTTCTTTCACACGATAATAATCGCTGGTATAAAAAATGCCCCATTGAAAGTTGGTATCAGAATCAATAAAGAGGTCAGAACTGTATAGTCATGCATGCTAATCATTTCCTTTCATTTATAAGTTGAGAAGCAAAATGACCACAAAAAGAAGGCACAAAATATATATGAGAGCAGAACTGAAACATTCCTCCATTCAAATCTAAAAAAAAAAAAATCATCCAATCCAAAGCTTCAGGTAAAAATCAGTCATTCTCAACAGTCTCAATACTGAACAAGAAGTATCAGATGAGTAAAACATTCCACAGAAGTCTATCAAAGTCATGAAATTATTGGAAAATAAAATGCTTCTCAAAAGTCAAAGCATTCAGAACATATATATATATATATATATATATATATATACGGTATATATTCACATACCCACATGCAAAGTCAAATACTATCTTCATCAAGAAATGTACTGAAAAACATGACAATGCGGTGTTTAAAAAAATGGAATGTAGGGTCAGCAACTAGGCTACTGTATTTGTTTATATTTTTTTTTTAAACCCAAAAAAAAACAGGGAATAACTATTCTGCTATCCAATAGTAAATTGTAATGCCTTTCCCATGGAACCTGAATAAATTAGTAAAACAAAGCCGGACCACAGATGGTGATGGTGTCAGCACAACAGCAATGGCTTGACTACACAGAGCTCTGAAATGTCCCTGGAACTGTCATGCAGTGAATCTCAGATTAGCCCAACTAATGTCAAAAAAGGGTATCAAACCCTCCAGAAATGTGATGTTCCTGAAAAAGCCCAGGAGGTCGAAACATAGAACATATTCTATATAAAGTTGTGAAACTTCAAATACTCAAGTCTCCACCTATTTTTTTCTTTATATCATGCTTTACTTTCTCATATTGAGTCAGTTGAGAACAGAATGTTTTAATTATGATTATGAACTAGTTATTGTAAAGCCTACTACAACTGGCATACTAACAAGCATTCACTCAATGGAGCATATGGGAGGCACTCACTCTATAGAACACGGTTTGTAAGTAGTAGCATTCAACAATACCTCACAGCAGTCTAAAGACAAAAAAAACCTATGTAACTTTCAAACATAAAAAAAAATAAATCAGTTCACAAGATGGTTCACACCACAACTTTGTTCAAAACCGATATTCGACAAATAGAAATAAGCTTAAAGTTCAGTGTTTGTTGGATCGTTTGTTCAGTACAGTTCATCAATATTTGTTTTGATCAACTGGAAAGTTATGTTATATCTCTATTTCTAAATAAAAATACATGGTCTATTAGTATTACCTGACAGCACAGAACAGATCATAGAAAATGTTGGAGATTGTTCTCTATAAAGGGTTCCACTATACCTATTATGGCTCTTTTTGTGTTCTTATGGCAACATCAAAAGGATAAACAAGAATCGATTTCTTTCAAAAATCTTGTCAAAGTGGCCCTCTATATATTAATATAATTAGTCTATGCTAGGACCATGTACACAGCAGCAGAAAAACATGGAATAGCACAGTGTGTAAAATCAGTTGTCCCCTCCCCTCAGACAGGGCAGCAAAGGCTTCCTCGCAGATCTAGACCAAGGTCTTTAGTTTTTAGTTTCAGTACGAGTTTTACTGCAAAGGAGGAGAGATAAAGACAATAGATGTTTGATTGGAAAGAAGTAGTTAACCACACGAGAGCACCCGTCAACCACTACTAGACCAAGGTCATTTTTCAATATGAAATATATAAAATGGTGTAGCGATACTTGACCTTAGGAGTCTCAACAGGAAAAAGATCAAGCAACAAGCATTGATTTACGTTTACACAGTTGATGACTTTTGTTAAAAGTTTTACAGAGACATTTAATCTTGTGAAAGGGAAATACTTGGCACATTTTTTAAAGACTCATAATCATAGAAATTAGCAACAACATTTCTTTATCAAAGTAATAAAACATTTCAGGTCACGAGCACATCAGTGGAGAAAAGAACACTAATAATAAAAATTGTAGATCTCCATTTCACTAAAAAAGAGTTCAAAAACTCTCTCATTCCAAGACATAGGCTGTAAGAATTTTCAAAGATTTACTCTGGAGATGCCTTTGAAAATGGCACCTGGATGTCTGTCAGCCATGGGATGATTCTAGGTACTATGTGGATAAAAGAGGCCACGTGCACATTAAAATCAACTGCACTGTGATGTTAAGATCTTAGAGTCAGGTACCCCTTAAGTCCTAGCAATTGTTTGCAGAAGAAGACTCTTGAATGATCAGCATAAAAAGATAAGTTTCTAAACTTCTAGGCATGTTATAATAACTTTGTATAAAAACCTCCACACTAAAAAGAATTTCTTGTGTTGAGGATTTTATTAAACCTTTTTTTGTTATTTTTTAATGTGATCCAGCCTTTTGCAGCTCTCATAGGTAAAACTTTGTTTATCATGCATACATCCCTCTCAAGGCAGATCAATAAAAAACAACAACTAGAGATTCATTTGTAATTAAATCTTCCACATTGACTAATTGAGCATCAAAATTATTTTAGTTATGTAAAAACTCAAAGACTAAAACATTTATGCATTGTTTAAAAAAACAGAACTTGTTAATTAAAAAAACCCTACAGATTCTGAGAGAATAATCCCTTCCTTCCAACATAACATGACATAAAATTGATATATATAAAACTAATATAAGAATCAGAATGCTTTACTTTGTAGTTATATTCATGGGCTTTGAACCACAAAGCAGGTTATTTCAAAAGCTGAGGGCTTGTGTCTGTTAGAACACAGAGTATGGCGTTATCAGAGGTATTTTTTATGGAAACAATATTAAATGTTGCAACAGGGCTGAGAGAAAATATTTAAGGAAGGACAAGAAAAACAATCTGGATTAAATTTAGATTTAAACCTTTGAGGGTCCATATTACAAATTGAGATTGTAACCTACAACACTAAGAGATCTATTCCTGACACTTTGAAATTCCTCAAAACAAACTCTTCTTTGTAATGAAGAGAAAAGGAAACTTTTGTGGTATTGAAAAAGATGATGTTAGACGAGAACAGAGCAAGCTAAACAAAAAAAATCCCCTAAAAAACAAGCATGCTAAAGAAAAAATATATGGCAAAAAAATACAGTATATATTCAAGATTGACTGGCCTGTATGAGCTGGAAGTCTCAGAAGCTGATTCTTATTTATTATATTAAAAAAAGTATGTACCATCCAGATACACTGTTGCTCCATTTTTTTCTTTTCTCATGTGATAAATAAGAATATCCAACAAAGCATAGGCATACGGCATAAACGATTAACACAGAATATTGGTTATCAGCTGTATTCATATCAAATACAGCAATAAATACAAGAGCAGATAACGCCATTGTTCTCACATTATTGTTTCAATCTAAAAATCTTATGAATTGGGAGATTTAAAAAAATTTGTATCGGTATATAATATTACCTATTTATTACATATCTAAACAGACATCTTTCCTGAGTTCAAAAGAAACTATCACTCTTTTATTCTTTTGTTCACCCGACCCCTCCTTGGCAGTGTCTTCAGCTATGATAAATTAATCACATCCTTATACTGACCCCACTTGGTGAGATGAAATGCCAGAAACGCTCCACAATCTAAAACTTCTTATTTTTCTAAAAGAATCTTCCTCTATTTCTGAAGACCAAAAATGGGCCCCTTACTACCAACTCATTTCTTTGAGGGCAATACAAAAAAGTATAGACATTTGATTTTACCAAAATAGCAGCATTTGCTCAGAGCTTCACAATACGTCATGAAGTGAATGTAAGCCTGTTGTAAAGAAACTAGTTTATATTAGCGAAGCAGGAAAAAAACAAGAGAATAGAAACTAATAGAGACAGCAAATATTTGTTATTCTTACTCATGAGAAATTATGGAGAAATCAGTTTTGACGATCGAAGTTCTATAGCTCAGACACGGTCACTGGGCTTTCACCTCACTTCTAAAAAGAACGAATGAGGACATCTCACATGATCAAAGAAAAGTGGAAAAAGGTACAACAATCACAGCTTACTGATGAATAAAAAGTGCGTATAAAGAAAACCTATCTGAAACCCCACCTTCCCAAACTTTCCTGCCCCTCTGCCGAATGCAGAAAAGTCTTAATTATTCATATATATATATAATAATAATAGACATGATATCGTCATGATAAGTTATTGTCAAGCGTCAACAGTGGTACAGACACACTGATCAAGCAGTCCATCTTTGGTTCTTATGGGAAGGTCAGACCAGGCCTGATTCCTTGGCCATGCCGTAGAAAATACTGTTTTTGTTGTCCAGAAGATTTTTTGGTGTGTCGTATTCCTTGATTCGACCCTCATGTAGCACAAGGATTCTGAAGAGAAGGATAAAAAAACATGTTTCAGTTTTAGTAAGAGTTTTTTTGTTTTGTTTTTTGTTTAGTGTTTTACAGCGCTCGCAACAGCATAAAGTCATATGATCGTGCTAAGAGTCTTATGGCACTTGCAACATAAATATAAGGGCTGAAAATTAGAGGTAGGTGTTGTTAGAGAGCATCATATAAAGAAATGAGGGAGAGATAATAAATGGAGAGATAATAAATGGAGAGACGATGAATGTTTGATAAGAAAGAAAGGGTAAACCACACCAAACCCCCGCCAACCACCAACAGAAAAACTGAACAACTAGGAGCAGGACCAGGAGGGAAAATACAAGAATGATAGTCCTTATAGTAATAGGCAGCATTTGTATTTGTATGGCTCAAATCTATACTATTACCCCAGCAGACCTGAGAACATTCTGAAACAACCTCAACTTCCAGGGAAGCATACAGTGCAAGCGGGCATTTATAGGCGTTAAAACTCTAACATACTGACAAGATCTTTCGCTGTCTGGGTGAAGTGAGGAAAATATGTGTAAAGTGCCTTTCAAAAGGACACAGTGTCGGGCCCGCAGCTTCAACCCCAAACCTGCAACCTCATGATTACGAGTCTAGGCTACTGACGCTAGGGGAAACAAAGGGAAATCATGTCACGTCGCGGCGGAAACAGGCGCTTGGCAATTTTTGGGCATGTGGAGTTATTGGTGCCACCTTAAAGCTAGTTCATTTATCTTGCTTTCAATGAAAAAAATATCTATTTATGTTGAGCAAAAGTTGAGACATTTGCATTGAAGGAGATGGGGATCGTCTGGTTTTAGAGGTAGAATTAGCTAGAAAATGGCTGTCACAGTATAGTGATTTCGAAAGCCTGAGAGTACTTGAAAACTGAAAATTTACATTTTCAGAGCGTTTAATCAACGTTTTTCAAGTAAAATCCACACCGAAACGTAGCTTGAAAAGAACATAAAATGTGGCTTTGACAAGCACCTGATTTCACCACGTTGCCTCAGAATTATTTTATGTGTTGCGCTTATAATTTTTCAGAAACACCAATTTACAAAATGGTCAGTACTTTGAACACCAGTAACCCTGCCACAGGAAAAGGTGAGTATATACAACTAGTCAAACTTGCCTTAACGGAAACCTGTCTTAACGGAATCTCCCCGCTCCCCCCTTGATATATTCCTCTTTAATTACCTGTATAAAACAGAAACCTGTCCAATGCGGAAACGGAAAGAAAAATCTGCTCCCTTCCGAGGGTTTCACCAGTCTAAGACGGAAAATGTTTTGCCTGCTCAGCCCTGATTTGAAACAAAACTCGCAAGTTTGGTTCTGCCGGCTCTAAACTTAATGCTATGGCCATGCCGCTAGGCAAGGAAGGGGAGTAGGGGTGCAATTTGGGGGTAGATGTTACCCCAATATGTGAGCCCTGAGGGATGCAGATGGTCAGGGTAGTGTGGGTGTGAAATCTGATGAGAGATGGTGAAAGTGCTGGAGTAGCGAGCCACCACGGAAACTTTCCTGGGTTTCCAGAAGCCAGAGGTGTGAAATTAGTTTGACAAATGCCTGCCGCCCTGATCATACTGCCAGCCAAGACAAGAGGGCCTCGAATCATTGTTATATGATGGCAGTGAGGGGTGGCAAATTGGTTGACTGTGCTTGTTACACCGATGGGTGGGCTAAGGGTGGAAGCAAAGGAGATGTTCAAACGTTTCTGTTTTTAATAGGCCAAACAGTGGTCCTATGAAAGGCAAGCACTGGTGGTAATTGGATAAGTAAGACTGATGCATGTCATTATCAGACAGGATAGCAGCTGAGAGGTGTGAAGTTTTGACCACTGCTTGTCAATCGGACAAGCCAACCTTGATCCCATCGGCTGGGCTTTTGACCCCCCCCCCCTTTCCATCATCTCCTAAATTCCCCTGTCTAAGATGGAATTTTTTTCTGGCTCCCTTGCGATTCCGTCTTATACAGGTTTGACAGTATATACAGTTAAAATTGTCCAAGAAGGCCAACCATTGTCGAGGAGAAAAGTGCTTGTCTTTGACAGGTGGACGTCTTGGAAAGTTTTATCAATTATCTATTTGTGGTGACCAAATTTTGCTATTCAAAAGGCTTTTTATGGCTGCATCGATCGACATGCGGTTTTTGCCAAAAGATTCTTTAAAATATTCTCCAGATCATGACGCCCTTAGTTTTTTCAGTTTTGAGACAGTTTTGCTGCAAAAAGCTAAATTTCTTTATTTCGCCGATCACTTTTGTAGGCGGCCTCTTTTGTCTCTGTAATTTTAGAAAATCTGCCAGGTTTGTTTATTTCAAGTCTTACTTCCGTTCGATACTATTGCGCATTGTCGCGCAATACTGAGCACTATTTTGAGTGTGCGACCCGTACAGATCTAGCCACATGTTTTCTTTTTTTACTTGGTGCTAAATTTGACTGTGATCCTTTCGTTTGATGCCCATTATCGCTTTTTCTGGACTCCTTTGTCAAATTCTTTTTTTTGCTACTGGGAACAACGTCAACAGGTCTTAGATTAGAATTTTCTAATTTTTTTCATCTCTCAAAATGTATTGCTCCATTCCAGTAGAGTGTTAATATCGTAGGCTAATGACTTTCACTTGATGTTAATGCACCGATCATTCCTTTCATTGAAAGGTGGTCCAGGTAGTTATAATATAGAAAAACAAGAGGGGGCAATGGGAAATTGTGGTTTGTACAGATGATTGTCTTGGACCACCCAACAAAATTACAATGTCTCCCACTAGTGAACGTTATCACCCAGGTTGGCAAGCCCTGATCTACAGAGATATGATCCCCAAAGTTAGACTGCGCTAAAAAATTAGTAACTTATTGATGGAGAATCAGAGTAAAAACAAATTCTTGAATCATTTAGATTTCAAACGTACTTTGAATGAGTATTTCCAAAATACTTTTTAAAACAACAGTGGCCGCAGTCTTTGGTTCACTTGTCAGACAAAATGACAGTACCACAAACATCATGTTTGCAGCTCTTCTACATTTCTAAAAGTAAAGAAAAACTATTCTAGTTTCAAGGCAGATTCCCTTGACTTTAAATTACTTAAGTCTGGTTAGCATAGCAACAAGGGTGAATCTAAAGAGAGTAGGTGGTTCAGGACGAAACTGACAGGTTCTACCTCTTTACTTTTTCTCTTTTGTTTCCATCTCTTAAAATTTTTTCCCCAGCACTAAAAGACAGTTTGAGTGTCCATGCCCTTCTCTTTACTCAAATGCAAATCAAACATCTAATAAGAATTTTGTTGGCATTGGTAGTCTAGTGGTTAGTCTACCTGTAATCATGAGATGGTTGATTCCGGGTTTTGAGTCCCAGCTCAGTCCAATGTTGTGTCCTTGGGAAAAGCACTTTACTATACACATATTTTCTCCATTTGGCTTAGTCTCATCGGAAATGGGCATCAAATTCAGAGGTCAATCCTCTTTAATAACCTCACAGTGTTGCAAGGGGTGCTAAATCTGTACAGTATAGAATTTCCAAGAACTTTTCCTTACCTGTCATAGTCAATAATGGTCTGTAGCCTGTGAGCCACGGTGATGAGCGTCCGGTTGTCGAGGGCTGTGCGGATGGCCGCCTGCAGAAGTGCGTCTGTCTCCAAGTCCACTGCTGCCGTGGCCTCGTCCAACACTAGGACCTGGCTGTTACGTAGCAGGGCCCGGGCCAGGCACACCAACTGTCTCTGTCCAACACTGGTAGCAAGGGGAAAAAGTGTACGGGTCGGTGAATAAGTTGAGTCAAATTTTACAATACAAGAAACAGATTAACTCACTTGAGTTTATTCCTGTGAACTTAAAGGCCTAATCCCATGTATTTGCGGGATGCACTTTATCAATTGATGTCTCTGGTGGTGTTTTTAGGTTACAAGCTATGGGAAGAGGCAAACCAACAGTAGACCAACTTGTTTCGTTTTGTTAAAAATTTAGTGAAGTTAAGTGCAATACTTTCTAGATGTAATGGACAACATCAGTCACCCCCGCTTGTGAAAGATGATTTTGTTGGTGGACTAGTGGTTAGGCTCTCGGACTCCCAACCGTAAAGTCATGGGTTCGAATCCCGTCAAGGGCCCAACATTGTGTCCTTGGGAAAGGTACTTTTCACAAATTTTCCTCACCTCATCCAGGTGGAAATGGGTACCCGGCAATAGACAGTGAACCATCTTGTCAGTTTGATAGTGTTTGAGTGCATGAAATCTGCAGCTTGCACTGTATGCTTCTTCTGAAGCCGACAATGTTTCTGAGTGTTCTCAGAGGGTCTTCTGGGGTAATAATAGTTGTAAAGCCCATAGAGCATGCTCTAAAGCATGGATATGCGCCATATTAATGCAATTATCATCATTATTGTATCATAAATTGGGCACAAAAAAATAGCGTAACCCGCCAGACATTGCCATTTCAAAATATTGATAAAATAAAACTATTTGGACAAGTCAGATGCAGTTTTCTTTTTCTGTGAGAGCATTTCTTTTTTCATTTGTTGCATTTTTTCATTATGATAGCTTTCAATCTTTTTGCGGTTAACAATTCAGTATACCCCAAAACTGTCAGGCTGCAATGGTTCTTTGGTGAAAAATAGCTCAGGCTCAAGTGAGTCAAGCTGAATTCACAGAAGTTCATAGACACAATAACAGTGCAAGGAAAGCATGACAGAAGGACAGAAATAACAGAGGGAAAGAAAAGAAGAAGAGAAGTTGAACCTACGAATGGAGCACTCAAACCACTTACAAGAACAGATTAAGACAATGACAGCATAGAGAAGTAAATGAAGCAGACAACAATTGTCTGCACATGCTGCCTGAGTAGTCGTCGCCTCAGAATTATTTTGTCCAAAGTGTACTTAAGTAAAGAGGCACTTTGGACAAAATAGTTCTGAGGCGACGCAGTGTATTTATGAACAAAAACTTTAGAAATTTAAACAGAGCTATAGGACTGACCATATTTTGTATTCATCTTAAAATTACTCATTTTATATACCACCCGAAACCCTCACACACAGCGCATCAGAACACTTTATTTCTTTCCATTTGTATGCTCATGAGATGAATGGAGGTCATGCTCATACTGTGCCAGAACAGCATAGAGGGAACAGCTGCTTTTTCTTTCCTCATCCTTACTATCGTCATTCTCCCTCTACTTCTTTTGTATGTTTGTCACTCTCTTGTGAACTGCTAATTCCAGGATGCCTTGACAGTGATAGTCGAAGCAGACTTTACGTTGTTGAGGCTAAAGAGTAAGAGGTGAGCAGAGTAAGCCTGTTTCCCCGTTTAGACTTCTCTGTTGACATCCACCCCTTGGCGCTCATTTGAGCGTATGCAGTTGCGAACGCCGTAAAACCTTACTAAAACAAACAAGGAGGCTCTTAGGACTTCATGAACCTTCAATCTCTCCCCTTTCCCAAAGAAAGGAATTAGTTCCTCAATCCTTTGTTGAAATCTTATACCCTCTGGAACACTTGGTGCCCTCACAGATCTGCACTGAAAATTGGGCCATCTTATCTTTACACGTCAGTTCTGTCTTGCTTAGCCTCCAGAATACCAACAGCTCAAAAGTCACATTCACAAAACGAGCTTCAAACATTTCTTCCCCCCACTACACACACACACACACACAGATATATACATACACACATATGTTTTGTTGGTTGGTTTGAATAAACAGAAGCGCATCAACACAAAAATGGTAATTTAGTACAGAGAAAAAGTAAGACACACAGACAAAAACAAGAGAGGGAAAGAAGAGAAGGCGGACCTACCAAAGGCATTCTTCAGCCACATGCTACACATATGTGTTGATACACACACATAAGTAAATACACATGCCCACTTATACACCAACAAACACTTGAATGGTACACGCAGATGCATACACACATAAACACATGAATTGTGCATAAGCACACACACACACACAAACATTTGAATTGCACACACCCACACATACGTATGCAAGCAGGTAGTAACATTTGAATGGTCCACATACACTCTCTTTATCTCACAAACCTGAGGTTCTGACCCCCTTCCTCACAGATATGTTCTAGCCCAGCTGGGAGTCCCATCACGTACTCCACCAGATGGGCGTGTCTCAAAGCCTCCCAGATCTCCACGTCTGAGTGCATGTCAAAAGGGTCCAGGTTGAAGCGCAGGGTGCTAGAAAATAGTACAGGGTCCTGAAAATAATACAAAAGGAAAATTTAAAATGTTAGCTCTTGAAAATAATACAAAAGAAAATAAACAATGATAGCTCCCGAAAATAATACAAAAGAAAATAAACAATGATAGCTCCCGAAAATAATACAAAAGAAAATAAACAATGATAGGTTCCGAAAATGATACAAAAGAAAAGAAAACAACGTTAGCTCCTGAAAATAATACTAAGGAAAGGAAAACAAAGTTAAGCCTCGGAAATTTGACTAAAGAAATTCAGCAAACTCAATTAACTCAAAGAAAGTGGAGTAAATAATCAGTACAACCAAAAGAAAACTTTTCTTCAAATGAGCTGAGACAAAACATCCTTGTATTGCACCATGCCTGAGAAATCTGTGATGCAAGCTTAATTATTGAAGAGTATTCAATTGGCAGGTTACAAATGCAACTCCTATGATCTATCATGGTGCTACTGTCAAGGTCATCATTTGACATTAGAGGAAGAGGAGGATAAACACATGAAGGAGTAGAAGAATTTAAAGAAGTATAGGAGGAGGAGGAGGAGGAGGAGGAGGAGGAGGAGGAGGAGGAGGAGGAGGAGGAGAAGGAGAAGAAGAAGAAGAAGAAGAAGAAGAAGAAGAAGAAGAAGAAGAAGAAGAAGAAGAAGAAGAAGAAGAAGAAGAAGAAGAAGAAGAAGAAGAAGCAGCAAAGTACCGACCTGCGGTAAGATGGTCAGCCTGTCCCTGAGGTCGTGCAGACCAATAGAGCTGATGTCCACACCGTCGATGACAATGCGACCTGCTGCCGCCTCGATCACACGGAACAGAGCCATGGACATCGAAGACTTGCCCGCTCCCGTGCGGCCCACGACTCCAACCTGGTGGCAGAAACACACACATAAATGTCACTACGAGGTGGAATCAGGTCCTCATCATTTTTGGCATGTAGAGTTATTGGTATTATTTGAAAGCTTATTTATTTGCATTGCTTTCAATTAAAATAAAAAACCTTGTCTATCTTGAATAAAAGTTAAGATATTTGTGATTGAAGGGGGTGAGGTGGCCTGGTTTCAATGGTGAGGTTAGTGACAAAATGGCCGTCAAAGTTGGGTAACTTCAGTAACTAAAGCGTCCCTTAAAACTGAAAAATGATGTATTTTGTACCTTTAATCAATGTTTTTCATTAAAATTCAAGGGAAATGTGTTTTATATGGACATAAAAGGGGTTAAGCCAAAATATAAAAATTCGATAAAAATTGCCAAACTGGCAAGAAAATGCCTGTTTCTCTGATTTCGTTATTTTGATGAGTGTCTGATTTCACCACAATGCTTCACAAATAAGAACTGCTTCAACTTGCACATATAATGCCATCTTAGACACAGGCAGGTCACTTCAAAGGCAAATTGTAATTGTAACTGTTAGCATGGGTCACCAAACAATGGTCCATGGGGCAGATCCAGCTCATGAGATCAGTTTGATAGGCCCACCACCAAGCAGGGAAACAAATTTCTATGAAGATACGTTTGCTGTATGCTCTGGACTTGGTCACCAATTTAATTTAATCATAATATTGACACTGCAACGTACATTTTTCCACTCACTCAATCATTCCATCCTTTCCTTCTCCAACAAACTTTTTCTCTCACTCAATCCTTCCACCCATACCTTTTTCATTTTCCCCTTCACTCAATCCTTTTATCTTTACTTTCTCTCTTTAACTTTTTCACTCACTCCTTCATCTCTCTATCCCTCAACTTCTCCTGCAGACTTTTTTCGCTCATTCAATCCTTCCATCCTTACCTTCTCCCCTGGTTTCACAGTAAAGTCCAGGTCATTGAGCACAAGATCTAGGCCTGGGCGATACCTGGTGCTATAGTGCTTGAACCTAATCTCTCCGCGTTCTGGCCAGTCCAATGGAGGACGACTGGAATCAACAACCCAATCTGGCTGTAATAAAAAACAACAACAAGAAAACAACTCTCATTATCATAATAGATAGTATTTGTATAGCACAAATCCCTGCTTATCAGCAAGCTCTATGTGCTTCACAATCTATACTATTACCCCAGCAGACCTGAGAGCATTCTGAACAGCCTAAACTTCCTGGCATACAGTGCAAGCAGCCATTTATAGGCGCTAAAACACTAACACACTGACAAGATCTTTTGCTGTCTATGGCCGGGTACCCATTCCTACCTGCGTGAAGTGAGGAAAATTTGTGTAAAGTGCCTTTCCCAAGGACACAACATCAGGCCCGCGGCTTGAACCTCTGAACCCCCAACCTCACGATTACGAGTCCGGTAGCCTAAACACTAGGCCACTGACGCCACACGAGGCCACATGAACAGAAAGTAATAACCAAATTAACAACATAAGAAAAGCACTTTTTACTCATTGTTAATGATAATAAAAATATTTACTAAGCATCTACTCCCAGCTATGTAGCTCCCAAAAGTTCATATCAATGTATGAAAATATATTTTTTTCTCACTGAAAAGAGCTCTTTCAGGCACTCCAGCATGAATGTATACACTCTAAAAGAAACATATAGACATACACAGGCCACACACACACACACAAACACACACATATACTGGAAATAATTCACTCAGATACCTAAGCATGAATGCATACACTTTAACAAACATATATATACATACATAGGCCACACACACACACACACATACGCATGCACATACAAACAAACAAACACACACACACCCACCAACCTACACCCTTACACACACACACACACACACACACACACACACACACACACACAGGCACTGACCTCATACGGCAGTTCTGAGTACTCCAGAATGCGCTCGGCACTCACAGACCTAGTCTCCAGCTGTGTCCAGTTCTGAATCATCACGTTCAGCGTGCCGGTCACCTGTGGTTCGAGTAAACAGAAGATCATCCATTAACGGTGCAGAGAAAGAGAAAGAAAGAAACAACAGAGGGGTCACCTAAGTAAACAGAAGATTATCCACCAACAGTGCAGGGAAAGAGAAAGAAAGAAACAACAGAAGGTCACCTATGGGGTCAGGGGTCAAGTCCCCAGCACTAGAACTTTCAGGTTGAGAGGTAAGGCAGCGTTATGAGTAAAGTCCAAAACCAATTCCTACCCAAAACTGGAAAAAACTCAGAACAAATAAAGAGCCCATAGTTGGCAAAAACGGTGAGTATGTAAGTGTATTGGCGTTTGCATAGAATATGTATTTAGCATATTATAGCAAATTTCTCATTGTGTAGATCAATAAAATATTGTCTAATAATATTTTATATCTAAGCATACCTGTAATGCGTATGTAATGGACAGGCCAACAAGACTTCCGCTTATTCCATCAGAAATCACAGCAAACAAGCCAGCAAACAAAACAATACAATTGCCCAAGATCTCCAGACGAATTCTCAGCCACCTGAAAGTGCAAAAATAACAGGTGAGAGTGCACAGTGCTCCTTCGTTTTTAGCATTTATTGATGAAGTGTAGTAAAAAAAATTTTTTTGAAGATTCCAAGCTATATTTTTTGTTTTCTATAGCCCATAATCATTATACTAAAAAAGCCAATTCCTTCTTTGATTCTTTCGATGTGTTGGGCCCCATCTGGAGATAGCATATTTAAAAAAACCATTAAACTCCTCTCCTACAAGAACTCATTGGCTACCTTTTTAGGTCTAAAGTCGCAGTCGAAATCAAAGATTTGAAAGCTTGACACATTGAAAAATTTTCTTGAAAGTTTACAGCAACAGAATTCAAAGTGAGAAAGAAAATAATTCTTAATTTGAATACAATGCAGATTCTGAGATGAAATTGATGTGAAAAAATTGTACAGAAGAGGGACAGGACAGCACCTGAAAACGGGGTCTTTGCAGAAAAAACGCGGGTAGTTGTTGTTTTTTAAAAATTCATAATTTGTCCAATTCTGGTCTTTCATACTTCCTTTATGGTAAAAGACTTAACTCTTTTCATCCTGGCCGTATCCCCACTGACTCTGTACCCGTCCTGGGGTCGCCGCGCCATATGAGTTGGAATTCAGGGTGTATATTTCAAAGTGCTGTATTTCTTACATTTACTCTTAGGTTCTAAGGGAATTTGGCAGTTATGTTAGAAATTATGTTTGAAATTGGATGTAGTTTTACTAAATGTATGCACTTTGGAATTACACAAATTGCACCAGGTAGATTTTGAGGTGTATTCCACCCTCTAACTTGACCCTGATTGCCGAGCCCATGACGTCCCCTTAGATTGATAGATCTACCCCTACCCATCAGTACTGCACGGATTCCAGTACTGACCCCTTCACCATGATCTGAATCGCTATCAGATGAGTTTAATTACTGTTCGTTATCATCCACAATGCAATTTACGGCACTTGATTCAGAGTCACTTTCATCAAATTAGTCTCATTCCCCCTCACAACCCAGCGCCACTTCAAGAAGTACTTCGTCGGTCAGGAACGTGTGTTTTTGAGACATCTTTAAAGCTTCTACACCCATCAAAACAAAGAAACCGTTGTTCATTGGAAAATTTAAACATTCAGACAGAATTAGCATTGCCGTGTTTGCATATTTTGGTAATTACCAGCAGAACTAGCTGTTTGACATGACCATATAGCTGTTCCCAGTTTACTCGTAGCCTGGACTGGTCCTCGTTACGAGTATACTCGTAGCCCGGATAAAAAGAGTTAATAGGCCATAGAACGTGTCCTACAATCTAAAACTTTTAAATCCGCCCCCCAAAAAGTTGTAGTAAATCCTAGCATTGTTGATAAATATCATGTATATGAAGTACTACCATTAATTACAAGGAAACTCTAATAACAATAGCAAACAACTTCAAACAAGCTTTTTAAAAATTTGCTGAAACAGCCAAAAAAATAATAATGTTGGTTTTGCAATGAAACATAGGAAAAATTACCGTTTCACTCACTTATGAAAACTGAAAATCAGCAGAACACAAGAAAACAGAAAAATAATTCCTGTAAAGTTTCAGACATAATCCTGACATTTAGAAAACAAACTGCATGATGATCACTATCAAATGGCAAGGAATTCTGCCTTTTGCCACGAAAATATCTTCAAAAAGTGAAATTAGATATTTTCAAAAAGTGAAATTAGATATTTTCAAAAAGTGAAATTTAAAAACAAGACACCTCCAGGGTTGATGAAGGTGAAAACTGACAAGTCATGCTTCCTCACCAGGCTCAGTCTTATTAGTCAAGTGTCAGATTCTCACTCATTTTTCTGTTCAGATGTTTAAATATTCGGGTGACCTTCCTAAATAAGCTAAACCCCCCTCCTTTACCTTATTTAGGCCACAGGTGGCCCAAATAAGCTAAACCCCCCTCCCTTACCTTATTTAGGCCTCACCTGTGGCCTAAATAAGCTAAACCCCCCTCCCTTACCTTATTTAGGCCACACCTGTCATAATGGTCATATTTAGACAAATCCTATATCATTGTCTTTTTTTTCTTAACTGCTCAGGGTTATTAAAGAGTAAGCCAACTAGGTAGTAATTTCGGATTCCTAATACTAATATTATGGGCATTCTTAAAATTTTTTAACTTGTTTTTACCGCTTTTCTCAACGTAAAACAGATTCCGTAAAAAAACAAAACAACAATGACCTTATCTTTCTCTTTCAAAGTATTGTGCATATATATGTGTGAAACTATATATTCTATGCTTTCATGTACATGAAAAAAGCTAATAAAGGCAAGCAAAATGTTCTTCAGATACATAAATCTAGTAGTAGGCCCACTGGAATTTTTTTATAAACCGGGAAAGATGACCAGAAAACAACAAAATTATTTTATGATCTTCACTTGCACTTGCAATTTTTTTGACAAATTATAATCTACCTCATTGTCTTTTTTTCCCCGCATTTTTCTTCACTATTCATGACAACTGGCATGTATTGTTTTCAGTTATTATTTTAAAAAAGTGGATAGGCGGACTACGGGGTCTATCTAGCCAAAAGGATAGGTGGACCCCGGGGTCTACCTAACAAAATGCTAGGTTTTAGGATGTGAATCCCGGAGTCAGCAAAGTGAAATAAGTAGTAGATCTAGGTTTAACTAAGGATCGGTGGACCCCGGGGTCAACATAGTGAAATAAGTAGATCTCAGTTTATTTTATAGTAGGACTGGCGGAGCCCGTGGTCAACGTAGCGAAATTATAAGTAGATCTAGGTTTAATTAAGGATTGGTGGACCCTGGGGTCAATAGTCAATGTAGTGAAATAAGTACATGTAGATCTAGGTTTAATTTTAAGGATTGGTGGACCCTGGAGTCAACGTAGTGAAATAAGTAGGTTTAAGGTGGACCCCAGGGTCTACCTAACGAAATACTAGTTAGGCTTTTAGAATAGGTGGAACCTGCGGTCACCGTAGTAAAATAAGTAGGTTTAATCAAGGTGTCCCGGGGGTCCACCAATCCTTAAATAAACCTTCTTATTCCTCTACGGCTATGGTGACTCCGGGGTCCACCAATCCTTTTAAAATTAACCTTACTTATTAGAAATAAAAATTTCACTACGCTGACCTCGGGGTCCACCAATCTTTAAAGAAACCTACTTGTTTCACTACGGTGACCCTGGGGTCCACCTGTCCTAAAACCTAGTATTTCGCTAGGTAGACCCTGGGGTCCTCCCTAAACCTGCTTATTTATCACTACGTTGACCCCGGGGTCCACCAATCCTTACTTAAACCAAACCTTATTTCACTATGGTGACTCCGGTGTTCACATCCTAAAACCTAGTATTTCGCTCTGCAGACCCCAGAGTCCACCTATCCTCTACAGGACTAAACTATTATCAATTTGCAATTTTCATTGATTAGCATATTTAAAAAAAAATATTGAATCAGACTCAGAGACTCGCTGTCTAAAAAGTCCACTGCTAATGCTATTCTTTTCAAAGAAAATGGCACAATTTGATTTTATGACATGTTGAAAAAAGAGTTTTAAAAATATCCCGAAAACAACATAAAATGATTATATATATATATATAGATCTCTCTCTCTCTATATCTCTTTCTCTCTCTCTCTCTCTCTCTCTCTCTCTATATATATATATATATATGTGTGTGTGTGTGTGTGTGTGTGTGTGTGTGTATTTTATTATGTATACTAAAAGACTGAGCAGAGGCTTACAATGTAAATTCTGTGCTCTACAAGTAGAGAAAATATTAAGTTTGCGCAAAACAGATTTTAGAAAAAAAAGTTGGATCTAATTATTCTAATACAAGTAAAAGTGATTGTTATGCTGAGATTTGTTATTATTGACTCTGGAAATACAGTTACTTGCTGAATCTAAAAGTAACTAGAACTGTGCAATTCGTTTTATTTCAATTCCAAAGCCCAAAGGCATAGCAATAATAAGTTAGATCTAGATCTAGCAGTTGTAGGCTCTCTGGCTGCTTCTAGCATAAGCCTGCTACTACTGATTCTAGACAGGGAATCTAGATCTTGCTATCGCCTGCACTATTAAAGTCAAATATATGGTAAAATAAAAACAAAACTGAATTTTTTTCAGTCAGTACATCACAATTGCCATAGCCGCACGTATTAATAGTTGAATAATGCGATACCGCAGCAACACATTATCACAGTGTGCAGGGGAGAGCAAGGTGCCCGGTCGATTCGGTGGTTCGGCTTTTGTAGATCTATGCATTTTTTACGGAAAGCCCTATTACCTAACCCTCTTACTAGATCTATTAGTGTTGTGAAAACTTCAACCTCTACAGCTCAGGCGTCAAAAGATGCTGGAAAATAATAATACGTCCTGAAGTTTCTTAATTTATTTTTATACAGAATAACACAGTACACAGCCAGTAGTTTTTATTTCATCGAGTTATAAAAATGGCCTTCGTATAAAAATTGCCTTGTTTTCAGAAGCAAATTTTAATAGTTCTAGTTCTACCGAATCGATTTTCACGCGAATTCAACAGTACGAGAGAGTGTCACTCAGGCAAAGATAGTGTAACTTTGACTCAGCCATGTAGTGTACACTCTTTTTATACCCCAAATTTAACCCGGAAGTCCATTCGGAGGATTTGACCTTTTCACTTGACCAAAGTGTGCCAAAATGGTAGCCTAGCTTTTGCCCCTCCATGAAGGAAAAATCTGGCCCTCATTCAAACCATTGGGATTGAGCAAAATTTTGCGTATTGTGCTTTGTTCTTTACAATATTCATTATGGTTATGATTTATAAGTTGTACACTGAGACAAAACCGTACTAAATGAGAAAGGTGCACCATTATTATGAAAGTGGAACGAACTCAGTTGCCTGAAAAGGGTAGTTTAAGCATGTGTGGCCTAAATAAGCTAAACCCCCCTCCCTTACCTTATTTAGGCCATATGTGGCCTAAATAAGCACTCCCTTAAAAAAAACAACCCTCCATTATCCTGGTCAACCCTCACCAAACTCTTCAAATTATCTGAATATCTTATTCTTCATCTACCTTAACATCTTTTGCATTCTATTTTTCCAGCACAACAAATACCTTCATGGCCTTTACGTCAATTTAAGTGCACCAGGACCAGCATTTATCTCTTCCAAAAGGTTTATATGCCCTATAAGTGACTGTCCCATTCTGGTTTCTTTCAGCACCACAGGCTCAAAATCCATGTAAAATTAGAACAGAATTTGGTAAAAACAAACTTTTTAAAGCCTTAACTCTTTAAACCCCAAGTTTTTTTCCATCGTTTCCTGGAGCTTTTTCTACAGTCATCAAAACCTGGTGCACATTGTCTCATTATAACCCCCAAAACTTGCCTTAAATTTCTAAATGGCATGAACAAGGGCTTAGTCATTATTAAAAAACTTGGATCGTGAATAGTTCAGAAAAACAAGCCAAAGCTAGCACTAAATGAAACAAAAAAGTTGTCACTAGTATCGGACGCTTGGGGAACAGGGTTATTACCACCGGACGCTCCAAGCGTCCGATGAGGTTTAAAGAGTTTAACACCCCCCCACATCATTTTCCTTAAAAGGAGTATTTATTATCACCTCATAGCAGAGGAGGTTATATAGAACCAAAAGTTGTTGGTGTCCACCCGTTTCTGAGAGTCCAGGGAGAAACGTTCTGTGACCTTGTAGGATCGGATGCTGCTGGCTCCGCTGATGCTTTCGGCAAAGTGGGAGAAAATGGGAGAACGGGTGACAGACTCCAAGCGCCGGAACTGCCGCGATGAGGGCATGTAGAATTTCTGGGGAGAACAATTTGAGATAGTTCAATTATAAATTTAAAAAAATGTAACATACAATACAGAGCTCAGAGAACAGTCACCATATTTGCAGCACTATGTACTCATTTCTTAACCCTAAGGGCACAGACGTGGCAATATGCTACACCAAAGGGGAGAAAAATGTATGGCAGCCTAGAGGATTTAAAGCATACTATACAGTTTGTGAGCACGATTTAAATGACTGTCTAGACTGTCATCCAGAATAATGAAGAAGTAGAAGAAGCAGAAGAAGAAGAAGGAGGAGGAGGAGGAGGAGGAGGAGGAAGAAGAAGAAGAAGAAGAAGAAGAAGAAGTAAGTTAACTCTGACAACTAGTAAGATCAAGACAGTGGGTATTTAGATTTATTGTCAACTTATAAAGCTCTGCTACAGAAAGTGTAAGTCATTTCAAACCACAGAACCTGTCTCCCTGTTAAAGAAGAAGAAGAAGAAGAAGAAGTAAGTTAACTCTGACAACTAGTAAGATCAAGACAGTGGGTATTTAGATTTATTGTCAACTTATAAAGCTCTGCTACAGAAAGTGTAAGTCATTTCAAACCACAGAACCTGTCTCCCTGTTAAACACTGGGCACAGGAAAAATATTCCAGGAAGGAAGAGATAAACAATTTGAACCCTCACTCAATTCCAACTTCAAACATTTGCAAGTAGATAAAATCATACTTTCCTGAACTCCAAAAAGTAGCTAAAAATGAAGAGAACTTTTGGCTCATGTGTTTCTCAAGGAGGGAAAAAGGGAACATGTGCTGTCTCTACGGGAGGAAAAAATCTGCAGAAACTTTCCACATAGCCCTTTCTGGTTCAACTTGGCCAAAGTGGCAAATTAAAAATGTAGCACTGAAGTACAACCAGGCAAAAACTGTCTGTTAAAAAGCTGCAGTGCTGGAGTTCAATCCAGCCCAACACAAGGCTTGTCTCCTCCATGGGATTTCCATAGTGGTAAATTGGGCTACAATTAAAAAAAAAAAAATCACAAACATCAAGCAGCAGCCTTGTTTTCATTTCTGGTAGGGAGAGTAAGTGAGAACCGGCACTAGCAGTCCGAATATATTTTTGCTTCCATTAGTGCAAAAGAAAAAAATGTGAATACTAGAAGCTTGCCAAGTGCACAGGAAGTTGAATGAATGTGGATGACCATTGTTTGCAAAGAACAGGAGAGGGTAAAATCGCATACAAAAAAAAGGGAGACCAACACTTAGAGGGAATGATTTTTGTAATGACTCTCCCTTACACACTATAGGCATGTTACATGATAAAACAAATTTTCTTTTTAAGTTCTTTTTCAGCTTGACCCCTGATTCATATATTGAAAATCACTAAAGTTATTATCATTCAACCATTTGAAAAAAATGCCACCCCTTGATCAACTTTGGGCTGATCCATCATGCATGTGAAGTGGCTGAGGGCAGAAATTTACAACCCAAAGCTAGCTTAAGCTGTGTAATCCTATCTGCACATACTTTTCCACAGTAATTGTACAAGGATAGAGAACAACCAATGACAGGATGGCCTTTTTCAAATGTCTAAATCAAATACTTTTTTTCCTATATTTGATTTGAATTCTCCAAGGGTCTTTCAAAACTTAGCTGAGCATACACCTAGCACTGACAAAAAAGGGAGACTTTCTTATAAAATTGTGGGTAGGTGTTAAAATAATGCTAGTGATGTCTTTACGTCATTCAGAAAAACAACCTGTGTCTTAACCCCATGACTAACCTGTGCTAAGTAGTAGATGAAGGCCATGGGGATCACAACAGCCAGGAAGATTGGGGCGGTGTAGGAAATCACAATCAGAATGGCGATGATGTTGCAAAACGCCTGGAGAACCATCCTCATGAGACGTGACATGGCAGAATCCATCTGGTCGACGTCCGCGGAAAATCTGAGAGGTAAATCTTCAGTGTAATACATCCATCATTATATATACAAATACTGTCACAGCAACAAGCAAAATATAAACCAATAATTATTGACCTTACTGTGCACCATAATCTAATTTGAAACTTGAATCCCGTACATCAGAACAAAGTCATCCTTTAAAAAAAAAATTTCTGACTTCTTTCTGCTCCAACAACATCCCCCCCCCCCCAAAACAAACAACAACAACCAACCAAACAAACAGAACAAAAAAACAAACAATAAAAAACCCCACAACAAAACATTAAAAAACCACTTCAGTTTGCACTGTGAAACAGTCATGGCATTCAATCATCAACCGCTTCACCATTTGCTGACCCTTTCCATCAGAATATAGATGGATTTGTCCAAGGCATTCATCCATTGTAAAGGAGAAAAGTAATTGTTTGAGACAAGTGGATATCCTATCTCTCTTCTTATAATATTTTTTAAAAAACGCAAGTGGGGAGAAATGGGAAGTGGTCATTAATAAAGGTGATTGTCATGGACTTCTTTTTTTTCCTCAATCTAGGATTGTCCCGGACAGGTGGCGGTTAGAGCAGGTTAGACTGCACTTGTAAAAAGCATAACAAAACAAACTTGTCTGTTGAAACCGGCTAAACTTGAGCTAGCTGATCTACTATTCACAGTCCCTGATGTAAAAAATCAACGAAAAAGAATTACCTGTTGAAATGAAAGGTGAAATGGTATAGGTTTAACACCCCTATCAATGCTGTTAGGTTATTGAAGAGGCGGGACCTCTGAGTTTGACGTCCTTCTCCGAAAGGACCGAGCCAAGTGGAAAATTTGTGTAAAGTGCCTTTCCCAAAGTGACAATGCCGAACTGAGCTAAGGCTAGAACCCCTAAACCCGCAATCTCACGATTACGAGTCCGGTAGCCTAACCACTAGGCTTACCTGTTGAGAACTCTGCCCAAAGGGGTGGTGTCAAAGAATGCCATGGGTTGATGTAAGATTGTCTTAAGCATCTTGTTGTGCATGCGGCGAGAAGCGTTGACAAACTGAATGACCAGAACCAGGATGTAGGCTGAGTTTCCAACAACTGGACAAAAAAACAGACAAGGTATGCAAGGATCCTGTTTTAGTTTTGAGTTAAGTGTAAGAGTTTAATGGCACTCGCAACACAGATAGATCATACAAGTGCTGAAAATAAGCGATGTTACTAGGGAATAACGTACAAAAAAAAGAAAGAGGAGAGATACAGACGATAGATGTTTGATAGGAAAGAGGGAGCAACTCATACCAGAGTATCCGCCAACGTGAAGATGTTGATTCTGAATACACTTGCATAGATTTATTGAGCAAACTGTTGTAAACATCCATGCTGATGCTTATGGCACCACTGCTACACATGCTTTTTAAAACATAAAAAAATGTTTTTTAGTAAAGAGACACATCTATGGCCATTAAATGCAGGGAAAAATCAAGACAGATGAACAGAATCATCAGACGGAATGAAAGAAGTATGACCTATTGGCGGCACCCTCGAATCACCAACTATATATACATACTGTATGTCGACCAGAGACTGCAGTGCACATACACACTGGGAGTATTTTGTTTTTGACAGCAACATTTTGGGGAATTTTTGTGATGAATGAGCATTGTGACTGTGATTCTATTAATAATCAAAGTGAAACCAAAACAAATTCAGTCAAGTTTCAACAAATACTCGTCAGTAAAATAGCAATGTCCTGAAGGTTTTGGGTCGTGGCTTAAAATGTCGGAAATTATCAGCAAACTTCCTATTTGATGAACAGGAGGTACACACTGAGACCTGTAGCATTGTTTGCTTCTCATAGATTAACAGAGAGAGAGAGAGGGAGGGAGGGAGAGGGAGAAAGAGGGAGGGAG